ATACATTCTTTGACCCTATCATTATTCAGGATGTTATTACTTAGTTTCTACTTAGTTCCGTATCTTTTGTACATATTTTCTTTAAGACTAATTCTATGTAGGACAATGTACTTTCTCTGTCTTTCTTGAGTTGTACAAGCTTATGAATTTGCTTTTTCTGAGGTTCTGATGCCAACTATGGCTTTTTTAGTCCCCCAAAGCATACTCGATTTCATTCTGTGCACTCATTTTCACTCTGTGTCTGTTTTATATCCCAAGTTTACTCCGCCATGCAGCCCCCTCACCCTGGAAGTTCCCTCCACCCTGTGGCCCCTTTCTCTAAGTGGCTGGCTCCAGCCAGAATCTCCATTATATGGAAAGTGCCCAGGCCACCCATGCCTTGCTTCCTCTCTGAGCTCCACTCATGACTCTTGGATTTTCTCTACCATGCCACCACAGCCTTCTCATCCCGAAAGTTCACTTTGTCCCTGGCCTTCTCTGAAAGTTCACTCCACCTCTGCAGTGCTTTCTTTGACTGCTTGGTTCCTCTTGTAACTTCCATTGTAAGGAAAGTGCCCAGGTCAGGCCACATCTTCATTCCTCCCCAGGCTCTACTCCTGACCTCTGGACTTTCTCTACTATACCAGTGTGCAGGCACCTCCCTTACTCTCTGCTTTTCAAGTTCCTTTTATGTGTTTTCTTCTCCCATTAGAATGTAAGCTCCTTGGGGGCAGACTTTCTTTTTGCTTGTGTTTGCATTTCCAGTGCTTAGCATATTGCCTGGCACACAGTAACTGTTTAATAAATGCATTTCAACTTGCACTTACGCAGCAAATTGCTAAGAATTTTTTATCTATGTCCATATCCTTTTATCAGATAATTTAATCCACTCACATCAAGGCTTGTAATTATTACATTTGTGTTTTTGTCCATTAACTGACTCACCCATCAGCAGTTACACCCTGTAGTGTGTTTTATTATAATGATCTAAACCAAATTTCCTGTTTCATACCCTCTCCTTTCCTTCCTATTACCCAGTCCAATCCCTAGCTCCCTTGGCTCACTCTCATTTTTCTTCTCTCTCTCCCTCACTCTTGTTTACTCCTTCCCCTTCTTTGCTCAGTTAAAAGTATGGTACCTAATTCTCACTAACTTCCTCCTACAGGATCATTGATCACAGACTTAGAACTGGAAAGGACTTTAGAGTTCATTCGGTCCAACACCTTCATTTTACAGACGAGGAAACTGAAGCCAAGAAAGGTTAAGTGAGTCAACGGGTCACACATTAGCTCGTGTCTCAGGAGGATTCAAACTGGGGTCTACCTTGTGCTCTATCCATTACACCAGGCTGCAGCCTAACAAAGAAATGGTGGTGCTGTCCAAATCCTGATACGTGATCTCCCTTCTTCCATTTCTCAGTGACATTGGTCTGTAATGACTCTTTCCAAGCAGTATTTTCCTTCCACCCCTTTCCTCATTTTTTTTACCCTTTTCAGGATTCCCTAGTTTCATCACAGGAAAATAAATTAATCGGGCAGCAGGATGCAGTGGGAGTATATAACCCTTGCCCCATGGAGAATGAGCTCATCTTTTATCCCTCATCATGCTACCCTCCCTTTGCCTCCTCTAGGACATGACTTGCAAAACACCCAAGCATCTCTTCCGCACGAATGGATGCCAGTACTGAGATCCACTGTGCCACCTCACAGGATAGGATCTTCTGACCTGTCCACCGTCCACTCACACCCCACGAGTTTTACAGCCTCTTAAGGCACGTGGAGCGCTGTGCGCCTCTCCAGCTGTTCCTTTTCCACTTTGGGCTGCTTCCCACTCCTCCACCATCTATCATTATTCCCCCAACAAGATAGGGAGGGTAAGGATCCCCTTTTGCCCATAATGATCATTACCAGGGCCTTACTATTTCAAACTCGCTCCTATTCATGCAAAAGACATTCCTCTGTATTATCCTATCAACCATACTATTGATTTATGAGTGAAGAAGGTTTATGTTCTGAAATATCCCACCTACTCTTCAACTGATTTTTCCTGTCATGCCTTCTGCTTCTTAGCTCAATAGGCGGAAGACAGGAAGTGGCCAATTTGAGTATGACATTGGGAAAAACTGCCTAATAACTAGAAGTATCCCAAAGTGGAATGGGCTGCCTTAAACTGTTGGGATCTCCCTCCTTGGAGGGCTTCCAGCAAGTCCGGGTATGTTAGTGGGGATTTCTTTTGTGAGAGGTAGACTAGGTGGCTTTTCCACTCTCAACTTCTGTGATTCTCTGTATTCCATCGAGTATCCCAGTTTCGTAGCATTCTCAAGTTCTTTCTGTCTTGTCTTTTAAAAAGTTCTTAATTTTCCATTTCTGGATTTTTTCATTCCAATCCTTTTTCTTAAGAGAACATGGTGTCTGCCTTTTGTTCTAATCTCATTGGGTTTGTTGATTTCTTACACAAGCTCTAAATTTGGTCCTTCTAAAATATTTTCTCTTAATGCTTTGGTTGCTTGTCTGAACTGTTCTGGACGCTCTTGGAATCATTTCAGGGAGGCCTTCAGGAATGTGTTATGCTAGCTCCATCTTCCACAGATTTTCGACTCAAGTTTACTTTGTTGAGAAGCACCTACCCACCAGGGTGGATCTTTGCTTTGAATATTTGCTCATTTCTCTTCCTCAGGCACTTTTTGTTTGTCTTAATCAATTACTGGCTGACTTTTCTATGGCTCCCTTGCTGAAAACGAGCTAATTGTTTCCCTTCACAAGGCCCAGTGCTCCCACGCCCCTCCTTTGGCTCCCATGACCTCCTTTGGCTCCCACATTGGGTAAAGTCTGTTTCCCTTAGAGAGTGAGGGGGGTCAGTTGGGACACCATTGCAGGGAGAATGCAGGGGGCTTATTCTCCACTTTTACTAGTCCCATTCTTCCAGGCTCAATGACACTTTCTACCTTAGCTTTCTTCAGCGCCCCAGAAGCCTGGTCATGAAGGGGTCGGGGAAGGGCCTCCTAATACAATGCTGAGAGGCATGCTCTGGGAAATCTTTGTAGTTGCTTCTCTTTATCCTTCTTTTAATGAGTACCCATTTCCTTCCATGCTACATTACTTTTTAATCAGGGGTACATTTCTAACTACCTTTTTCCTCCACTTTCTTATCCCTCAGGCTTTATATTCATCCACTGTTGCCCCTTTCCTTCATTTGTAGGAGTTGGGGGTTTTCTGACGCATGCACTTCAACTCCCCTGGAAATGTGGTTCCCCTGGACACTAACAGTATTAACTTCAAAAGCTGAGGCAAAAAAAAAAATGGAGATTGTGATGTAGGCTGAAGAATATGGGAGTAGGGTGCATGGGGTGACAGTTCTGGGAGTGGCAACCCTTCTCCTCCCACTAACTACAAAGTTAACATCCAAACCTGCATGCCTAATATTATAGCAGCAATAAAAGTCAAAAAAATTGCTCTCTGGTGGACTGTGGGGAGAGGTCAGGAAGGCCAGGAGTGATATGAGGGACAGGCAGGGCTTCAGTTATTTTTAAAGACTTACTCTGTGGAGAATTCTTTCACTTACTGTTGGTGATTTTTTTTTTAAACTTGCATTATTTGATTTGGTGGGGAGAAATGGCCCCTAGGAAACTTCTCATTCCGCTATCTTCCTAGGATTCTTCGGAGACCATTTTACATACTTCTTTTGTCATTTGGGCTCCAGGTGGCCAAGGAGAGTATATAGAAAAATACACAGTTTGGGCAGAAATAGTGTAGGCCTTGTCTTAGAGAGTGGCTATGACTTAGAGAGAGGGGAATGCCAGGATCAACATCATCTCTGGGTCCTGGAGACAGGTGAGAAGCCAGAGAGCAACAGGAGAGAAGATACTGGCTTATGACATTCCATACACAAAGCAGAGTTGGACCACATCCTCACTCCCATGTCAAGGCATCTTCCCTGGGAAATAGATGTAGGTGAAGATGCACACAGCAAAGATGTATTTACTAACATACACATCTGTAACTAGCACATCCAGAAGCATGCAGAATGTGGTCACATTTCAGGTGTGTGTCTGTGCACTGAAATAGATCTACCTGCTTTACAAGGTAAATCACATGATGGATACACACTTTTAAAAGGAAGGCGGAGGAATCAGGGCAGTATCACAAATAACACTGCACCTGGATTCAAAGACATGCATTTCTGGTATAACTATCACTTGTGAAATGTGTTGTTATTGTTAGTAGTAATCTCTCTTTTTTTTTTTTTTGATCTGGACCTGTGATTTAATTTGGAAAGAGAACTCCAAAAGCAATTCAACTGTAACTTACAATCTTAAAAGAGTCATCTGGGACACTGAAAGGTCTTCAAGGGATAGCATGCATCCATGGCAGGACCTGAACCCAGCTCTTCCTGACTCCAAGGTGGGGTCACTACACAAAGCTGCCTCTCTCACAGTGAGGTTCTAATTGTTACGATGTGCCTGGCACATAGAAGGCATTTAACAAATGGTGGAGAACAAGCAGAGAGTGTTATGGAATAGCTGAGTGCATCACAGCCAGTACAGGAATGCCTGGGGAAGCTGAGCACCTATGAAAATGGAAGCACTCTTGGGGTTCGAGCATCAAATTAAGTGAAGCAGAATTACTTTTATTAAATAGAAGCCATGCAAAGTGATTAGGAAATAGGATAGAAAGGGAATTAGTGATGGAAAAATACCTGATTTTGTGTATATTTCTTCTATTTTACCTAAAATGGTTAAGTTTCACCATTTTCCTTGATACTCAGGTTTCAATAGGGAGATTTCTATGCTTATCGTAGTACAGGCTTTAAGCCAACTATCACAACTCCTAGACATAACGGTGAGACCAGCCACGGTCAGGTCCCCAAGAGTGGACACTATGTCCCTTCAGGTTCCAGGGGTAGCCCCAAGGAGCTTTTGGGGGGACTTCTAATGCTATAGCTCATGCGTCCCCAGTGGTATGATTATGGAGAGACTATGAATCAGTCAGCCAGACTTCAGTAACTTTTAGAAAGGAGTGTTTATTAAGATGTTTCAGTAAGAACAGTTTGTACAAACACTGCCCCCCAAAGCCTGTGACACACTGTTCCCCAAGTGCAGAGTCCAAAGGAAAGAGCGCCCAAACTTGGAGAGCACATGTGACAGAGGGCTAATTCATAACTCAGTCTCTTGGTTGCTGGAAGTCTTTTTCTTCACTTCCTGGAGTAATCAGGTTTCTGCAGGAATCTGCCTTCTCTTTCAGCTCTAACACAGACCCCACCTGCAGCCGCTGCTGTCCTGGGGAATGATGCTGGTAGTATGATGAGAAGATGAGAAGTCTAGAATCCTCTGGACACTTCACAAGGTCCTCTTCTGCCTGAGGCATTCTCTTCGTTGCTAAGCGATTCCTATCCTTCTCAGAGGCAGCTTCCTCTCTCTCTTTTGCCAGATGTGTGCTTGATTCCAAGCTACTCTTAGACCCAAACCAATTTGATAGTTCATAGAGGACCCCAAGAAAGAGAGCCAAGTTTCCTCAGTTAATCTGAACATACCTCCAGTGGATCAAGGACTTTTTCTGCACTCAAAGTCTAGGCATTTGAGACTTCTCACCTTACTATGGTGTCCATCACTTTAGATATGGTGGGGTGATTAGAACTACTCTTTTGAGCCCCACCCATTAAAGCTCTTTGTGTGGCTTTTCCAGATCTCTAACTAGAATGTTTCCAGCTTGGGCTTCTGCTAAATTACCATCCCTTGGTTTTGTACAAGGTAGGGATAAAAAGGCTTCTCAATTCCCTGCATCTTGAAGTCATCATCATGCCTGGAAGCTTCTTCTTAACTATCACACATGTCAAAGCTGGTGACCAACGATGACATCACTATCTATTTTTCCTCACTAAAGTTTTACTGATGCCTTCTCTTTAAACAGTCATTTCCAGATGTAGCCTCTACCCATCCAGGAATACTTCCTTTGTAACAAAGAAAAACAGCCCAACAAAACCAAATAGCCCAGTGGCCTTGTCTGAAGCATATGTAACATCGTGTATCCATGTTCTCCCACCTCTCCAAAGAAGAGGTGCATTTCTCATTTCTACTCTTAGGACCATGACTGACCATTACAATTAAGCTTCATGTTAATTTCTGAAGTGATAAATGTAACTGATACTACATTCATTATATTTCCTGGATTACTCTCTAGTGTTTGGCCTCTATTTGATGAGAGAAAAGCTACATCTAAAGCCTAATGGTTTTTCCATAGTCATCAAATTAACAGGGTTTATATTCCACATGAATTTTCTGGTGTTTAATAAGGTATGAGTTCTCACTGAAGGCTTTTCCACATTCATTACATTCATAAGGTTTCTCTCCAGTATGAGTAAACTGATGTTTAGTAAGATGTGTACCCTGACTGAAGGCCTTCCCACATTTTTCACATTCATAAGGTTTTTCTCCAGTATGAGTTCTCTGATGTCGAGCAAGATGGGTACTCTGGCCAAAAGCTTTCCCACATTCTTTACATTTATAGGGCTTCTTTCCAGAATGGTTTTTTTGATGCTTATTAAGAGATGAGCTCCGGTTGAAGGCTTTCCCACACTCCTTACATTCATAGGGTTTTTCACCAGTATGAATTCTCAGATGTTGAGTAAGGGATGAGTTTTCACTGAAGGCTTTCCCACATTCCTTACATGTGTAGGGCTTCTCTCCTGTATGAATTCTTAGATGTTGAGTAAGGGCTGAATTCTTGTTGAAGGCTTTCCCACAATCATTACATTTATGAAGCTTTTCTCCTGTATGAATTTTCTGATGTTGAATCAGGTTTGAGTACTCACTGAAGGCTTTTCCACATTCCTTACATTTGTAGGGCTTCTCTCCTGTATGAATTCTGAGATGCTGAGTAAGGGATGAATTCTTATTGAAGGCTTTTCCACATTCATTACATTTATAGAGTTTTTCTCCAGTGTGAATTTTCCTATGTTGAATAAGGTTTGAGCTCTCACTGAAGGCTTTCCCACATTCTTTACATATATAGGGCTTCTCTCCTGTATGAATTCTATGATGTTTTGTAAGGGATGAAGCATAACTGAAGGCTTTTCCACATTCACTACATTTATATGGCTTCTCCCCAGAATGAGTTCTCTGATGGTTTTCCAGGTGTGTATTGTTGCTGAAGCTTCTCCCACATTCAATGCATTTACGAGGCTTTTCTCCTGAATAAATCTCCTTATGTCTACTTAGGCATGAATTCTGTTTGAAGAGCTTTCTAGGTGAATCACATTTATGGGGTTTTTCTCCTGAAGGATATCTCTTTTTTCTATAAGAACTAACTTTAGACTGAAATTTCTCAACAATTTTTTTGAGTTTGCGGACTCTTTGTCCAGCTGGAATTTTCTTGTGAGTGACTGTCACATCCCTCAAATGGGTCTTGCTTTTTGGTTTTGTCTCCAACTTACCATCACTCAAGCAGGCAGATTCTCCTGGATTAGAATTCAAAGTATTACTCCTCCCAAGGTTTGCCACTTTGTCTTCATGGGATGATTTTTCTTCAGAGATATCATTGTTTGGAATTGCCATTTTGTTCTCAGTTTTCTGGGCTGAAACATAATGAAAATGCAAATGTCCCCTGTGCTTGAAACTAGGAGAAAGGAAACTTCTATTGAAGGACTGGGATGTTGGAAATGACAAGCATGCCTATAGTAAGAGTATGGCTTTCACAACTCTCAAATGTAGCTGTGCAGCAGGGCCAAAATTGGGGGAAGTGAGACTGAAATGGTAGCAAAGGTAAGAAGAGGGAATTATGACAGCCTCCTCAGGAGAGTACCACACAGATAACACAGTAAAGCAGGGATTCTGGGAGTCAGATTGGCATCACAGGAAGAAGAGGTGCCCCACTATCACCACCCCAGCCCAGGCCCTCATGACTTTACACAGGCATTACTGAAAGAGCCCTTTCAGGTCTCCCCAATCAGTTTTACTACTTTCTAATTCACTGGCCATATTCATGCTAGATTTTTTCTTTTCTACATGCAAATGCAACATATTATTCTCCTTGTTAAAAAGCCTTCCACGGCTAAGTTTGACAGGATACAGTCAAAATACTTTGGGCTGGTATTTTATCCTCTTCACCTGGACCCTATTAGCTCTCTGACTCTCTGGACCCTGACATCTGGAATCCATACCCCTAGCTCCAGGGGAGTTAATTCACTCATCCTTGGAACTCCTGCCCTAGGACCCAACTGAGCTGATTGGTGAATGAGTGCAAACTTGTCCACAATATTTATTAGCTGGTCCCAGACACGCTTCTTCTTCACATCTCATCCACTCTCTTAGTGACTCCCCCTTGGCTCTACTGTTCCCAGAGCACAAGGTGGAACCAAGTTAAACCAGCATCATTACTTAGGGAAAGGATGTGTTAGCTGAGTATCATATACATCAATTTATTATCTCTGTGACTCCCCAGAATAAAGCTCCCTTCACTGGCCCCTGCACCCTTCTACGTGTGGTCTCACTCTGCTCTGTTAGAATATAAGCTCCCTGAGGGCAGGGACTGCCTCTTTTTATATTTCTATCCCTGATGCTTAACATAATGCTTAGCACATAAGAAGTGCTTAATTAATCTTCTCTTTCTTTCTTTCCTTCCTGAATGCCAGTTTATGCCCATGTTCAAGATTTTGCTCATGCCATTAGCCCTACCTGAAAGAATCTTTTCTATCCAAGTCTTATTCTTTCTTCAAGGTCTGCTCAATGGGCCATTTTCTCCCCAAAGTCTTCCCCTGCTAACCTGGTCTGCATGGATCTCTCTGACATGCCTGATAGAACTGACCTTCTGTACCATTAAATTGGCACTCATCATCCAGACATTGCCTTACACTGTTATTTCACTGTTCCATATGCTTTGAAACTTTTCTCTCCCATGAAATGTGAAGCTTCTTTAAGTACCTGTGTTTCATACTTGATTTGAATCATCCTTAGGTCTTAGCAATTAGTAGAACTAGTAGTAAACAGTTAGTAGAAAACTCAATACAAACTTACTAAATGAATGAATGAATGGTCAGGATGAAGCATGTCAGAGAAATAAGGAAAAGGTGACTCCTAACCCAATGAGGGGGGAGAAAGCCTTCCCCCTGCTTGCCGCTATAAAATTCAACCAATCCAATATTCACTGAGCACCTGTGGGCCTGGTATCTGAGATAAAAAATAATGCAAGACAGACCCTTCCTTCTAAGGTGTTACAGTTGGGGGCAGGGAGGACATATAAGAATAACAAACATAAAACTACAATAGTATATCATCAAAGACACGACCACACAGAACAAGACTATTAGTAGGACAAGAGAATTACAAGGAGAGATCACTGTCTGCAAGTAATTCAAGAAAAGCTTGATGTTAGGCAGAACTTAATTTTAGCTTCAAGGGAAGTCTATTTAGATAAGTAGAGAGGATGGGGAGGACATGCCAGGTGGTCATAGGGCAGGGTGATAGGAATGATACAAGGACTAGATTGGCCTGATTAGAGGAGGGCGAAAACTAACATGTTTGTGGCAAATACGCTGGGACATGTAGATTGAGTTCATGGAAGGCACGGAATGCTCAATGGCTTAAGGCATGATGAGGGGGACAAAATGAGGTCATGATAAGTTCTTGAGAAGAGAAAGGGTGTGATGAACGTGGCTTTGGGGAAGGAGAGGACTGTAGCAGTGATGGTGAAGATCTGAATGGCGGTGGAACTGCAGAGAATAAAACCACATGCAAGAAACATTTTAAAGGGAGACTCAATGAGTCTCTTGTGAGAGTTGAGAAAGAGCTGAAATAGCGCCCATTCACCCTGTACTGTATGGTTTACGGGGATGAGGCCACAACCAGGGATTCTGTGTCCCGTTAACAGCTGAAGCACAGGGAAGCTCTCCTCTTGGTAGAGTCCTGCCAGACAAGAGGCAGGTTATCTTATTCTCCAGAGGAAGCAGGGAAGGGAAGGTGGTAGGTGGGCCCTGGGACACAAATGAGCACCTCGGTGGTGGGACCCTGGTGGGGTCCAGCATGTCAGGGCCTGCATCCAAAGCCGCTGGAAGAGTAATGGCACCTCAACCAGAAATGGCTAAATGAAGAAAGGGATGACAATGAGTTCGATGAACCTGCAGTGAGAGTGAGGTTATCCAAGATGAGGTTATTTAGGTGTGCAGAAATAGGGCATAGATGAGTGGTTAGGATGAATGAGGAAGATAGAATGAAGCACATAGATAAGATCTTGGAGACAATGGAATCAGTAAAGGAGAGAGTCAGGCAGGAAGGAAGCATTTATTAAGTGCCTACTATGTGCTGGCTACTGGGCTAAGGGCTGATTTCACTTGAACCTCACAAAATCCCTGGGTAGTAGGTGCTGTTATTACCCCCATATTACAACGAGGAGACTGAGGCAAGCAGAGGTGAAGTGACTTGCCCAGGGTCACAGAGCTAGAAAGTTTCTCAGGCCTTCCTGGCTCCAGGCCCAGAGCTCTATCCACTGTACCCCAATGGCCTTGAGGGAAGAGGACAGAGCTTAGCGGGGCACCTGCATTCAGTGGTGGGAGAAAAAAAAAGTTAAGGAAAAAAAAGTGAGGAGGGCATGAGGATAATCACTAAGAGTGTCAGGTCAGACAAATCAGAGGTGGGTCAAGTCTCAAGGAGTGTCAAACTGTTAAATATGACAAGGAGATCAAAGAAGACAAGACCTGGAAACGGCTGCCAGCATTAACCAGGAGTCATGCAGCGGTATCTTGTATTATTCAAATACGGTGTCCCCAAGTCTTGCGGGGGCCGCTCGAGGGCCGGGCATGGGGGCTGCTTGGCAGGCAAGCTCTGGCCTAGTCCACTTCCAGCCTGGGCCAGCTCACCCCTCCTTAAGCAATCTGGTAGCTCTCGAGGTTCACATCCCGATGCTGGAACGAGTGGAGACCCTCCATCAGCTCAGCCCACTGAAGCGCAGACCTCTCCAAGTCAGACAATCAGTCCTGTTACCTTCCCCGTAAGAGGGAATACAGGCAGGTATCACCATGCCCTGCAAGGGAGATTCTTTAAGAGGACAGAATTGGTGGAGTGGTGGAAACTTAAACCAGACCACGGGGTTTAGAAAGATTAAGTAGTGTGGCAAGGAATTAGGAAGAGCAGTTAAAGACCAAATATTTGTGGAATATGTCAGTGAACGGAAAGAGGGAAAGGCGACCGTGTGTCTACACGGGGGGGGGGGGGCATGGCCACACAAAGGATTATTTCTGGCTGCCATTTTTTTTACAGGAAGGTAAGAGACCGAAGATGGCAGAGAGGAAGGGAATGATCCTCAGAATGCGGTTACAGGATAAGAAGGGTTGGGACGCAGAGAACAGCTGGATTCAGGAAGGAGGGTTACCTCTTCTGGAGTGGAGATGGGTGCAATGACAGGAGAATAATGTGTCGAGGTCAAGGCTACAGGTTAGAGCAAGGCCGTTGCAAGAACAAGCCGCCCTTGTGCAGTCTGGGCAAGCTCGTCTTTTAACGTGTCCAAGATGCCAACGCCTTTCCAAACAGCCTCCATGGCTCTGGTTCTCACTCACTCACCTGGACGGGTGCTTCTGAGGACTTTTCTCTCCAGCATCCACAACTCCTTCCCTTGCTCCAGCTGGAAGATTATATCAGGTTTGGAAACTGCAAGTCCTGTTCATGGGGAAATAAATGGGACTTGATTGTGCCAGGGATAAATAACATTTCAGAGCACTGTCCCAGCTATTTGGTCTTGAGAAGTGAAGACAAAACAGTAAGGTCACAAGGAAGGGAGGAAGATCCCTGAAGGGCACATACTGCTACCTTTGTAAGAGCAAGCATTGAGGAATTCCTTCTGTATCCCTGTGCCTAGCATACAGTAAGTGCTTAATAAATGATGGACTGGATCTAGAAGGGCTCAGAAAGAGGGGCTCATCCGTCCTTCTCTCAGATAAGATGATGAAAATGTCTACGGGGTGATCTGCCCCGAGCACCGTGGGTGACGAGGATTGGAAAGGACCAGCCTCAGGTCTGCACGAGGAAAGAAGCCTCTCATTTCTAACTCTACGCAGAGTGTATGGTTTAGCACAGAAGAGGAAGAAGAAATACTGATCCCCAAGGTTAAGAATCCACACTTTCAGTGATTAAAGTTTTATTTTAACCAGTTTTTTCTATAAAAAGGAAGCCATCAGTGTCAAAGGTTTTAATTCATACTTTCCCCATACAGTTATTTATTTATTTTCAGATGAAAAGATTGGCAAAAGGGATTACCAATCAGATCCCTGACACTCAGCTGAGCACTCAGGAGGCCCCACAACTAATGGCGATTAAACAAAGCCCAACAGGCAGTTTTAAGTTACAGGGGAAACTGTCCTTACCCAGAGAGACCAGGTTCCTATAGTTCTCCAGCATCACATCCCTGTACAGATCCCTCTGAGTGGTATTCAGTCGCTCCCACTCGTCTCGGGTGAAGTCCACAGCCACATCCTTGAACGTCACTGAGTCCTGAAACACCACACACACACCTGCCAGGACTCAGGAACCCTTCCCCGAAATGGCCCTGGAGTTGGCCTCATTGTTGAAGAAATATCACAGGTTATAGTTTTAGCAACACGTACCCTAATTGTTTCTAGGGTTCTGAGTGTAAACCAAATACTGGGCTAGATTTTGGGCAACATAAAAGCCATCTAAGAAGAGTCAATTTATTTTTTAGAGTGGAAAGACTTACAAAGTAAAACAACCAAAGGATACAAGACTACCACATCCAGTCCAACGGTGATGTTCCTGGTATAACCGGTAGGACTGTTTGAACAAAGGGGGCGATCTGAGCGCACAGGAGTAGTGAAGAGGTGGGAGGTGATCCTGTGGTGAACGTTTCAATAGGCAAAGAGAAAGGAGGGCAATGGAGTGGAATGATGGGTCTAGACCACACACAGGATCCCTAAGACCCCTCCCTGGCTCTAACCTCATCTACTTAGCCCAGGGCAGGTTCTTCCTAGGAGCTGGACCTTCCCATTCCTATTTTCTACATATTCTTGAAGATTCCTTTTGTCATAGATGTATCCACTCCCTGTATATTCTGTGCACAGAAACATCTCAATCATCTGCAATGGTTGGGGTGTGAGGGAGTCAAGTTTCCAATTAACCAGAAGGCCCTTTATTAAGTCAGTTTCCTAAACTTCCGTGTGTCATAGACTACTTTGGCAATTTGGTCAGACTTCTGAATGAAGATAAAAAAAAAATCCTAATGAAGGAGATGCTAAATTTCAATTAGAGGTTAATGAAATTAAAAATGTTTTTTTTTCTAATCCAAGTTTATTACCCCCGCCCAGGTTAAGAACTATACTTTAAGTCATAAAAGTTATATTTTAACCATTTTAGGAGGGTGAGACAATCAGGGTTAAGTGACTCGCCCAGGGTCACACAGCTAGTGAGTATTATGTGTCTGAGGCCGCATTTGAACTCAGGTCCTCCTGACTCCAGGGCTGGTGCTCTATGCACTGTGCCACTTAGCTGCCCATTAACCAGTTTTTTTTTAAAAGAAGTCATTAGTGTCAGAGTTAGTTCATGCTTTCCCAATAGTTGTTTACAGTTTTCTTGTTTCAAATAATATTTTATTTTTTCCAATTACATTATTTATGTTTTCAAAAAATGAAAAAAAATAAGATTTTTAATATTTTTAGTTAATTCCTTAATTTAAAAAAGTCTTCTAAGAAATTGGCTTTTGAAGAGAAAAATACTTCATGTTAGGTTGGTTTTGATGAAGATCTCATTTGCATGGATTTACTGAAGCAAGGAAAAGAGAGAAATACTTAATCTGAGGTACCAGTTACTTTACTTTTAAATTTTTAATCTTATTTGCTTTGATGCCTTTTGTTTGTAACATGTACATGTTCATCTGCCACAAAGACAAAAAAAGCAGTCTGACAAAATCAACCAACACACAGACAGCATATGCTACACTTCACCTCACGCTCCCCAGACACTGTAGGGACGGAGGAGGTGCGCTGTCTCCATTCTCCTCTGGTCAAGCTCAGTCATTCCAATTATGGAGCTCACCTTTTGTTCCTCAGTCATTTTCCCATCTACTCACCCACCGGAGGATCCTCCCTCGTAACAAAGACAAGGGGACCGGTAAAGCCACCCAGCAAAGAGCTGTGCTGGCCAGTGGACACAACCTGCTGAGCCCACTGTCTCTCGCCCCTCCTAGATGAGGTGGCCCCTGGAGCCAGGTGCAGAGGGGCCTCTTTGAGTTCTGTTCACAGCACCTTGGCTGCAGCACATGTTTGTTCTGGGGGCTCTGCTCTCTTCACTTTGCCTCAGTTCATAAAAGTCTTCTCCTTTCAATTGTTTCTATTTATTACGCCTTCGGGCAGTGTTTCATTATATTCTTGTACATGATTTGTTTAATCGTTTTCCAATAAATGGCCACTCACTATTCCCCCACAAGATGCTGTTGATGAATATTTTCCTATCTATGGCCCCTTCTTTCTCTCTGACCTCCTCGGGGGTATGTAAGGAGTAATGGGTCTATAAGGACAATGGGCAGGAAGATCTTAGTCACTTTTCTCACATCATTACAAAGAACTTTCTAAAACGACTGGACCAGTTCAAAGATCCTCCAAACCTCCTGAGCAGCCTCTAACATCGCTGCCACTTTGATGGGTGGGAGGTGAGAGGTGAGAACACAGTTCTGAAATTAGAGGATCGGGGTTCAGATGCTGCCTTGCATCCTTCCCACCAGTGTGGCTGTCCTTCCCCAGACCTCACCAGCCTCCTCTGTGAAATGAAGAGGTTGGACTAGACCCCCCGAAAGTCCCCTCCAGGGCCAGTTCTCTAAGCTCTGGTCTCTTACCAGTGACTCAGAACACTTTTTTGTGGGGTCGCTGACAGTTTCATTTCTTCTTTTGAAAACTTGTTCATAGCCTTTATCAACTTAACTAGAGGAAAATTCAATGAAATTTCTATGGCCATCATTCTAAAATAAAATACTTCCCTTTTTTTCTTTTTCAGTAAACAAAAGGCTGTCAAAACAAACTCTAGTCACTGTACAACTGCTATTGAGGTAAAGGTTACTGAGTTGAGTGGGCACTGCCCAGGCCCCAGATAACAAGCTGGCTGTGCCTTGTGCCCCCAGACTGCTCTACTGGCCAGCCCAGGCCCCAGAAATCAAGCTGGCTGTGCCTTGTGCCCCCAGACTGCTCTACTGGTCCAG